ATTTGCTGCGTTATGTCCATTAAAAACAGGATTTTATTAAATAACTTCAATTTTAAACCTGCGGACGCTGACTCCTATCACGTTTTTTTCCTTCGCCTTATCCTTTTCCCTTCAGAAGGCTCCTCGTCCAGTATTGTTACTCGTCTTAAACGTATTTGACTGGGTGAGAGCTCCACCAAGCGCCTTAGTGATTAAAATCTTTCTGGCTTCCCAAACAAGATCATCAATACGACTTTTCAGGAGGCCATAACTCTTTACCGCGTAACGTTCTTCAAGCTCAGAGTAATTCCTCCTCTAAACCCTTGAAAGTCAGAATCATTCGCAATAATTGGAATTAAAATATTCCCCCCCCCCACCCTACCCAGGTGTTTATAGAGCATGCTCAGTTCAGGGTATAGCTTATTCGACCAAATTATCGTCTGAGATCGATTTTAAGATGCATGTTCACAGGTCATTGAAAATTACATGGGATCGATCCGTCAGATCAGGAGCAATTTGCACCCGGCGCCCCTGTGGAGGCGGGGTCGATATGTCAACAGTCTCAACCAGGCTTAATGAAACGCACGGAAACGCTTCCGCCTCGGCCCAATTTCCCTACCGAAAAAATACAGTCAATCGACGCCGACCCTGGAATTTCGCGAGGAGGATGAAGGGCAAAGGTGCTTGGAGGCTGAGGAATGAAGATGCCTGGTGGATGGGATGAGGCAGGGGCCGTCACTCGAGAACAAGAACCCGAGGTACTTGAACTTCTCCACCTGTTCCAGTGGGACTCCATTGGCATGCAGGGTGCACCGAGCAGGATTTCTCGAGAGGACCATGCCCTGTGTCTTGGAGACGCTCAGTTTCATTCTGGCCGCAGTGCATTCGGAGTCGAACCGATCGAGCACGCTCTGGAGCTCCTGTCGAGAGCGGATCAAAAGAACTGCATCGTCGTCAGATCCTGTCTATGTACACGAGGAACAGGAAAAGTGAGAGGACACAACCCTGCCGGAGTCCAGCGTGTACCAGAAAACAATCCGAACTCCTCCCGCTCACTCGGACACGGCTCCTGCAATCCCTGTGTAGGGATTGAACGGCCCGCAATAGCTGACCCTTGATCCCATACTCCTGCAGCACACTCTACAATTTTCCTCGGGGTACACGGTCGTAAGCTTTTTCAAGGTCCACAAAGCACATGTAGACATCTTTGGCATAATCCCAATGTCTCTCGAGGATCTGGTGGAGAGTGAACAGCTGGTCCTTGGTGCTGCGCTCTTCACAAAAGCCGCACTGTTCCTCTTGGATGGCATCACACACGATTGCCCGAGCTCCCTTTTCCAGCACCTTGGAATAGACTTTACCAGGTATGCTGAGGAAAGTGATCCCACGATAGTTCGTGCACTCCCTCGAGTCCCCCTTCTAAAAAAGAGGAACCACCACACCGGTTTGTCAATCCCTAGGAGCCGTTCCCGATTCCCAAGCATCCTGGCACACCCTATAAAGCCACGAGCACTCATCTGTACTTATTGCTTTCAGAGTCTCTGCCCGGATTTCATCCACACCAGGAGACTTCCCATTCTTCAGGATAGCAATGGCCTGCAGAACTTCCCCCATGGTGAGATTAGTCTCCGCACTGAGAGGTCCTCGATGGTTCGCGCGTCCACGTAGCGAGGATAGACCCCAGTGATGCGGAAGGCCGTAGTATCTCATGTCCCACCGTGTCATAGGGGCTTCCGTTGAGGGTGACCAAGACGAACCAAATCCAGCATGATGAGTTCGGCTCGGGTTTTCCATACTGGCTCAGTCGTCGCTCAGGATACTCAGTACTGCAATAGTCACTGCGACCAGGGTGACTATTGATAAGTTGGCTACTGGGTCCGGGTATCCGATGTCGCAGGGTGCGTCGGACTCCGTCATGCTACATCCAGGCCTATCGGTCGGTCTGTCACCGGCCATAGCGGAATCTCGGCAGGATGCCCCAAGGGGAGACCAGAAGCGGAATCGAACGGTATGAGACGCCATTCCTTGCAAAATTTCACCAACGCCTAAGAATAGCATGCGAAAATAGTGGAAGGAATTTATGTACCGACGCTATTCCCCTCTAGGAAAGAATGCATCAACTTAAGTCGAGTGTATTTTCGTCCCGCGGGGTTGGTTTCCAATACAACTTGATACTTGCTCCATGCTGCTTGACAAAAGTCGAAAGATAGCCTGGTATGGATGGAATCAGGAAGTTTGTGTTGGAAAGCCCCAGAACTTTCACGAAGGATTTGGACCGCTGAGATTCGAATTTAACAATATCGGAACGGCGTGTGAGCGGAATGCTCGACGGAAAGCGACACCTGCCCTTTAAAATGCGAAGATGTTTGCTCCAGGAATGCAGTGGAGATTGGGACATGACATTTCCTGACATGGAATATGAAAGAAAAATCTAATGTTGCCATAAAAAAGGGAAAACGAAAAAATATCGTTGGACCAAAAGAGCGAGACGAGGTAATGAAGCATAAGGAATCTAGAGTGCTGATGACCTTTTAAAGGTACTGGAACTGCTAAATAATGGAGCAAAGGACATGAAACAGTTGACGCTGAGAAGCATACGGAGAAAACCCCATCATCTGAAATGGGGAGCAACTTCGGTTTGCAAGAATAACCGTCAAAGAAAAGAAAATACAATTTTTATTAATTCATTGAAAGCTGAATTCTTTTGTGACTCATTCAGCATAATCTCTCTTTTTTACGGGTTTCCTTAAGATATAAATTGCTTGGGATTAATCCCAACTTTGTATGGAAATTGCGAAAGACCTCAAAAGGATGATGCATAAAATCTCTGGGTTCTTTGAATGTGCATCTGAAATGTTGAGGTCAATTAGAGGGCAGTCTCCTATAAGCTCCTAGGCATCACAATCTTCGTCATCGGGTATTGTCGTCTATGGACGGCAAAGCATTATGGGCTCCAAAAAGTCCACTGTCCAGCTGTTCGAACGATGTTACCTGAAAGAAGAAATAGTTCTTTTCAACAATTTCACTAGATTTTGCTGCTATTTAAACTGTTGGCGCTCAGCGACATGCCTGTGCCCATATAACATCTAAAATGACCTCAAGCATCCAATATTTAAATTTTGACTGGGAGGCAATAATTAATGGGTCAAAGATGCTCTTAAGCCTGGAAGTAATAAATCATTCTCTTAAGAAAGCACTCAAACATTTCTACTGAAATAGTTTCCAGGGCCAGGGAGACACGAGGCATGTAGTGGAGAAACATTGCTTCTTGTTTGCGGAATTGCCATACCTGAGGATTATAATCAATGAAGAAGTGGTCCAACTGTTGTGTCATAAACGATCTCTGCGTTCCTGAAGTTCTTCTGCAATGATAAAATCACATTAATTATGCATTTAGGATTAACGAGATCGATGAAGTTTCGATTTGATAGATGGCTCGTCCTCTGAATGATATTTTAAAATTACGGATAAGCTTCCGTTGTCCATTGATTAAATTTACGTGACTGCGCAACAAATTCATCTCATTACATTAAGTCTATGGTTAAGGTTTCAGCAATTCCGCCATTTGCGTACTTCCATATGAAAGTGAGAGACCTGAAAACTAAGAAGCAATTTTAAAGTGATTGCTAATGTACATTCCGATTGTCGGAATGTCATACCTTTATTACAATGCCATGCACTCATTTATTTCTGAGATTTCTTCCATAGGACACTAAACAGGGAAGTTCGAATCCTCATTGCAGTAGAGTATGGAAAGGCTGGTCTACAAAATTCAAATCTGACTTCAGTACTGTGGTAATCTGCAAAGTTTGAAAATTTTTCTACCGACCTACAATGGACAGAAGTTGTTCAGAGGAGATGAAAAGAAACCTTATCATGCATTTAAGGTTGTACAAGTTATATGAATGAACCCCTTTAGCGATCAGTATGTCAAGCACGTTTCACAGGTATAGAAATGTTTTCAAAACCTCTAATGTGCTGGAATCGGAATGATCATGATGGGCCTTTCATCCATGGCTTTCATAGAATATGTAGCACCGACAATGACCGAAGAAATAGACAGATGATCGGATTCGAAACTGATATGAGTCTCATGATTCTGAGATTTCCCTGAATTCATGAAAGTTAAGAAGAATGAACTAGCCGCAAGCCGGTGAAGTCAGAGAGGAAGACACGAACGATATATCGTCACCAACTTTTGGATGCTCCCACAGAGACTCTATCCTGAATGCTCTTATGAAAAAATGTTGCAAAATTTTGGCGCATGAACTCCTGTCATAATGACCTGAGTGCATTTTCAGAATTCTTACATATTAATATCCACTAATAATTTTTTAATTTGAAGGTAAATTTTAGATTGTCCTTTGGGTGCAGTGTTAGCATTTATCTAAGCATGAAAGGGTCATGGCCATCGTATCCTTAATAGAAATTTTTATATTAATTTGTTGCCGACCGTTCACATAAAAGATCCTTAAATAAATAACTTCTCGGATTTTATAATAAAAAACTAAGTTAATTTTTTTCTCGAAAAAAAAGGGAGGATCATCCAAAAATGGATGGAGAGAAGGATTACGTTGAGAAAGGAAGAAATAAATTCATTCCTTTACCTGGGCTAAGAGGAGTTAACCCTGCCAGACTCCGGTCCAGGGCCCACAGAAGAGGAACAGTATGAGCCCTCCATTCCACATCCACTCGCCCTCGGAAGGAGATTCTCACCAAAGATGGGGGAATTTTGCGTTCCCCATATACTGGCGGCAATTTTTCCACATCCATCCATATTTTTCCTAGAATGCCCAAATAGACATGTGGAGAAAAATCAGGGATGAGAAATTATTATGATAGGAAAGGCGAAAAGCATCAAAATCATAATAATCATGATCATTGACAAAACTTACCGTTTAATATTCCTGATATCTGTCTTAATCGCTCTCTTCACGAGGATCATGTTGGAAAATTCGTTAAGCAATTAAAAAATCTAAATTTAAAATTCTTCTACACGGTATGGGAGGACATTGGGTGAACCTTCATTACGCTGCACGGCGATAAGTGAATCTTCGTAGCACGCGACGCGCACCAGGAAACTCGGTCCGACAGAAACGCAGTCGGAACCGACCCGTGGAGATAGCGACGACAGGAAAGTGGGTACCTCGTAGGGTCACGGGGTACTTGAGCCCCCAGATTACACGTATGGCGACAGAGTACTTGATCCCCGGGACTTACAAGATGACGGAATTGGGACAGGAGCAGAAGCTGGAGCTCCTGATTGCCTCCGGATATCCACCAAATGAGCAGAGCTGCAAAGACACAAAAATACTGAGCTTCCCTCATTAATGGTGGTGCGGATAGACTATGCGAATTCCGAGATAAATTTTTTATTATTTGATAAGGAATCACACTTTAACTCCCCCCCTCTTCCCCTAACCATTGCTTCCGCTTCGGAAATAATTAAATTCAAGAACCATCTCCACGTCCAGATTTTCGTCAACGACAAAACCAGCGCAAAATTCGCAAACTCATCACGTGACACCCTGCTCGAATATTCTGCCTTGTACCCGACTCACTACATTTCTGTTCCTGCCCCCCAAAAGCGATTCCATGGAAGCATCAATTTGCAACTGCGAGAAGAAAAAAGGAACCGCGTTGGTCGCATTCCGAACTCTGCCGCACTCCTCTGTCCTCAACCGATTCACAGCCAAATTTTCACCTGTCGAACGAAACATACGTCAGCTTCAGTCTTTCACCTGACTCAATAAGATAATTTCCAAATTAGACACAAATTGTCAAGATTTTCCTGGATATTGGCTTTCGAGAATGGTTTTCCCTTATTCTTCACCTCCTATTAAATCAAACAATGAAATGTTTTATTTTGCTTCAGCAGAGGTTAGAATAAGAAAATCGTTTATGAATGTGGAAAGTAGGTTTTTATCTCCCTTTCATCGAAATTCATCCTCATGAACAATGAAGACCGATTAAATGATAATGCAGAGGAACATCGGGATAATCCGCTTCTAAATCTGTTCGATTCCGGCAAGACCCGCCGATTCCTTCCACTCGTCGCTAATGCAATCATGCCTGGCCTTGCCGGCAGTTACATTCTGAGGCATCTTTAAAAAGGTCTCATCCCTCTTGGCCCAAAGCCAGACATATTTTACATGTAATTAAAAGCGCGGAAGGGCGGCTGCCCAGGCAGACCTGTTGTCTGCAGCAAAATGAATTTTTTTGTTGTCGTCGTCCTTTACTTTGTCCCTACTTGTCCGCTAATCGCCCGCGCTAATCCGAAACACAAGTGGCGTATCGCGTCTGAAAGTCAACTTTTAGGGATGGGTTCGCCTTTCGTCACTCGCAACGGAGAATGATGAATCCCCGAGCACATTCATATGCCACAGTGATGGTATGTATGCATGCAGGCTATTTCTCAACACTTACTAACCCTGTGACCCCCTCTGAGACCATAATTCATTTTTTAAGATATAAATTGCTTGGGATTAATCCCAACTTTGTATGGAAATTGCGAAAGACCTCAAAAGGATGATGCATAAAATCTCTGGGTTCTTTGAATGTGCATCTGAAATGTTGAGGTCAATTAGAGGTCAGTCTCCTATAAGCTCCTAGGCATCACAATCTTCGTCATCGGGTATTGTCGTCTATGGACGGCAAAGCATTATGGGCTCCAAAAAGTCCACTGTCCAGCTGTTCGAACGATGTTACCTAAAAGAAGAAATAGTTCTTTTCAACAATTTCACTAGATTTTGCTGCTATTTAAACTGTTGGCGCTCAGCGACATGCCTGTGCCCATATAACATTAAAATAACCTCAGATATCCAATATTTAATTTTTGACTGGGAGGCAATAATTAATGGGTCAAAGATGCTCTTAAACCTGGAAGTAATAAATCATTCTCTTAAGAAAGCATTCAAACATTTCTACTGAAATAGTTTCCAGTGCCAGGGAGACACGAGGCATGTAGTGGAGAAGCATTGCTTGTTGTTTGCGGAATTGCCATACCTGAGGATTATAATCAATGAAGAAGTCGTCCAACTGTTGTGTCATAAACGATCTCTGCGTTCTTGAAGTTCTTCTGCAATGATAAAATCACATTAATTATGTATTTAGGATGAATGAGATCGATGAAGTTTCGATTTGATAGATTTATCGTCCTCTGAATGATATTTTAAAATTACGGATAAGCTTCGTTGTCCATTGATTAAATTCGCGTGACTGCGCTACAATTCTTCTCATTACATTAAGTCTATGGTTAAGGCTTTTGCAATTCCACCATCTGCGTACTTCCATATGAAAGTGAGAGACCTGAAAACTAAGAAGCAATTTTAATGTGATTGCTAATGTACATTCCGATTGTCGGAATGTCATACTTGTATTACAATGCCATACACTCATTTATTTCTGAGATTTCTTCCATAGGACACTTAACAGGGAAGTTCGAAACCTCATTGCAGTAGGGTATGGAAAGGCTTGTCTACAAAATTCAGAATCTGACTTCAGTACTGTGGTATTCTGCAAAGTTTTAAAATTTTTCTACTGACCTACAATGGACAGAAGTTGTTCAGAGGAGATGAAAAGAAACCTTATCATGCATTTCAGGTTGTACAAGTTATATGAATGAACCCCTTTATCGATCAGTATGTCAAGCACATTTCACAGGTATAGAAATGTTTTCAAAACCTCTAATGTGCTGGAATCGGAATGATCATGATGGGCGTTTCATTCATGGCTTTCATAGAATATGTAGCACCGACAATGACCGAAGAAATAGACAGATGATCGGATTCGAAACTGATATGAGTCTCATGATTCTCAGAAGATTTCCCTGAATTCATGAAAGTTAAGAAGAATGAACTAGCCGCAAGCCGGTGAAGTCGGAGAGGAAGACACGAACGACATATCGTCGCCAACTATTGGATGCTCCCACAGAGACTCTATCCTGAATGCTCTATTGAAAAAATGCTGCAAAATTTTGGCGCATGAACTCCTGTCATAATGACCTGAGTGCATTTTCAGAATTCTTACATATTAATATCCACTAATAATTTTTTACTTGGAAGATAAATTTTTAGATTGTCCTTTGGGTGCAGTGTTAGCATTTATCTAAGCAAGAAGGGGTCATGGCCTTCGTATCCTTAATGCAAATTTTTATATTAATTTGTTGCCGACCGTTCACATAAAAGATCCTTAAATAAATAACTTCTCGGATTTGATAATAAAAAAGTAAGTTAATTTTTTTCTCGAAAAAAAAGGGAGGATCATCCAAAAATGAATAGAGAGAAGGATTACGTTGAGAAAGGAAGAAATAAATTCATTCCTTTACCTGGGCTAAGAGGAGTTAATCCTGCCAGACTCCGGTCCAGGGCCCACAGAAGAGGAACAGTATGAGCCCTCCATTTCACATCCACTCGCCCTCGAAAGGAGATGCTCACCAAGGATGGGGGAATTTTGCGTTCCCCATATACTGGCGGCAATTTTTCCACATCCATCCATATTTTTCCTAGAATGCCCAAACAGACATGTGGAGAAAAATCAGGGATGAGTGATTATTATGATAGGAAAGGCGAAAAGCATCCAAATCGTAATAATCATGATCATTGACAAAACTTACCGTTTAATATTCCTGATATCTGTCTTAATCGCTCTCTTCACGAGGATCATGTTGGAAAATTCGTTAAGCAATTAAAAAAATCTAAATTTAAAATTCTTCTACACGGTATGGGACGAGTAAAAAAATTCAGCTGCGAACCATGCCGTTTCCCTTAAAATTTAGTGCCAATCTGTCTTGCTGAAACAGTTGAAGACAGATATGTATAAAATCTCAAGTCAGCCTCTTAGAATACCTCCTCTTAGATTGAGATACGTGCGAGCTAAGCTAATTCATGGAATAAGTTGGAGCAAAAAATCTAATCAATTCGATTCCAAGACGGACGCTAAGGTGAGAACGTGACAAGGCCTCTACTCTCCAGGAGGCTGCAGCTCCAATTGAATTCCAGTTTTATTTTATTTTTCTGCCATATGAAAAATGTTCTGCCCCAGGTCGACTTGGAACGCGCCACTCCTTGTAAAAACAAACCAGCTGGAGGGATGTCAACTCGGTTCCAAATAAATTTGGGTGATCTCTAGCTGGATATACGCCAGATGGGAGATCCTTCTCTGGCTCCCAAGCCACCTTATATTTCCCGATCACCTCCGGTCCGTCTCCATCCACCCGAGCCTGTTATGCCCGGGTGGATGGAGACGGTCATCTTGAAAGGGGATTGGCTTCGGTTGAAGATTTTGCTCAAATTATTCCAAAATGGCAAAATCGTGCCCACATTGTATTGAACGAATGAAAACTGCCTTTTGAAACTTTTGAAATTTTTGAAACTTTTTGAAACGCCTTGAAACTTTTTTTTGTGGGAGGAGGGTGATTCCCTCGGAACAAGCGATTTACCTGAAGATTTCTCATTGAACGAGGAAAGAATTTGCAGTTTCGCTAAACATTTTTTACCTAGACTGGCTAATGGGCCTACTTTTTCGCTGGTAGTGGTTCTTTTGGTGCTCGGCTGACGTAAGATCCCATGCGAGGTTGTAAATTTTAAAAGGAACTTTTTACATTTTACACATGATGTACCATTAGATAGATGTACCTCGTTGTTGCCAATTTCCTCGGAAGATTTTTTAGCTAGCAGATTAGCAGGTTTTCTTTTCACGTTTTTTCTCACTCTTTTGAGCGACCCAATTTTTATTTTCAAGTACGCCATCAAATACGTTGTGAAGAAAGCAATGAAAAGTACCTTTCCTCTTACATCTTAAGTGTTTCAGAAAATGTGTGCTCTCTAAAATTATCACATGCCACTGCATCCCAATAATTGATGTGAAAGCGAAATTCTCTATTGATTTGTCCGTTGAGTTAACCTTATTTCATGAAGTAGCTGTAGCGAAAAAAAGAGGAAACGGGCATGGGTAGATTTCTAACAGTAGAGAGATTCTCTCTCGGTCTTAAGGGTAAAGGTCTCTGAACATAGCATTGTGCTGACGCGATTTTTGTTCTCATCCCCACCTTGTCCTTCTCTATCCTATACTTTTTTTCTTCAGTTGTTGCTCACTTAATGGAAGCCTGCCCAGGGTCCTCCTTATAATTCTATAAGGCTTCAGTGCAGAGCGCAGTCTGAGAAAAGTTTGCAAATATAAAATGCCACGGAGTTTCGAGAGGATAGGGTTCGGCTTACCACCGCTTGGTACAATAGGGAGGATGTGAATATAAGGAGGAAAATCTTGGGCGAAGAGGAGTATTCCGCTCAATTCACTTTTTGCTTCTTCTTCTGTCGGGATGAATGTCCCTAGAAGACAGGCATGGTATTTATCATTATGCTTTATTTCCCACTTCGCATTCAGACTCCTTTGTCGAGCTTACTCTAACGTCTGCAGTTTCAAAGAAAAGCTGAATTCTAATGTCTGCGAGCAGAGTTTTCAAAAATGTTAAGTCTTTGCTTTCATCTCTTAAATGGCTTCGTGTCTTGCATTATTCCCTAAATCCCCAAGTTATTTCCGACGAATCACTTCGAATTCGTTGTCACAATGAAAGAAGAAAAGCTCATGGAGTCTTCAGGTTTCAGCCTCTGAAAACCAAAGATGAGATGGTCCTGCATATCTCTTATTACCAAAGTAAGTCAATACTCGTACCCCGATCGGTCAATACCCCGACACATACTGAATACAAGTTATGGAGGGACTCACAAGAGAATTTCTCCCCAATAAGGACGATCGGTCGTTTTAGGAGGGCTGCTCCACGTTCGACGGAAGGCAAATGATCTGCGAGACCTTCATCCCCTAGAATCTTCTGCATGGGATGAGAGAAGGGGTCTTAGCACAAACAATTGCCGTAACAACAAATCCTCAAACACTATCTTTTTGAATGTCCGGAAAGGAAAACTCCAACAATGTGATGTTGGAGCTTCCATAGAAAAGCAGAAATCTGCCTAAAGGTCAAATAAGAAGACTCCCGAAAAAATTAATGGACAAAAATATGAACTATATTCATTCTGCATCTACGAACTTCTCGGATTCACGTGAATCAATTATCCATGTGTGCATTGGGGAGTAATTATTATTATGGGTGGTACAGTCTTCCTATATTTCCTAATCAATTCCCTTTGAAAACATGATTTTACAGCGATAAGAGAGATGTCTTCGCAGTTTTCCTCGAGTCATTCATTAAAGCAACGCACATTTCAATATTAATTTAGGTAAGCGGCAGCGAAGGTACACACTTTCAAACAGGAGACCCAAACACTTATCCTTTCGCATTGTTGATTTTAGAAATAAGCCATGACACTATTTTCTTCCCTGGCTCAGATGCAAGGGTGAGGCATGAGACTTCGTCTTTTGCGTAAAAGGCGTTTGTTGAGCCTGAACCCACTGGCAGGTTTATAGGAGATTGTGAACTTAATTGCGCATGACTTAAAGGAGATGAATAGAGTTATGCTTACTCTGCCTGTTATACAAGTTAACTTTTTCGCATCTCCTCTACTTGAAATACTAAGGTATAACAGCAGTCCGACGAAAATATTTTCTTTGGCGGAAGATGACGTGTATTCCTGATTGTCCTAGGTTTGTATACAGTTAAGCATGGGGTGAAGAGGTTCGTATTTTCAGGAGGAATTTGTTACATACATATTTCCTACATAATCCTGCACAAAACATTACTCTAGCATTTCTTTGATGTTGGATTCCAAAAAGAAATGATCCAAGGAAGCGGGAATCATTTTTCTCTATCCAACTGGAACAATTTTTGCAATCAAAGACGGTCATTTACGATTGCTTGACTCTCGCCACGAACGAAAACGTCGAGAATAGTTCTGCAAGCTAAAGGAAATATCGTCTAAGAACAACGCAGACCTCCGTATGTCCATGAACCACCTCCATTGCGCATTGCATCATTGCCGTTGACTAATCTGACGTTATTGGATTGCATGGCAAACTTATTTGTTCATGGTACCATAACGAGGGTAGGAATGTTTTGGATCAAGGGGGTGCGCCGGACTAAGCGGTATAGGAAAGACAGGTGAACATTAACTTTTTTTGGAAAGTGTAAATTAAGTAAAATATGACCACGAGACTACCATTACCAAATTACCTGAGTGATGTAGAATAGAACGAATGCTTTATTAACATCTTAGAGAGGGGGAGAAATGCTCTGGATGGAATCTCTAGCTAAGACAAGGCGGTGCCTAATTTTACTGAAGGAAGTTTGTATGTTTCAGATGTAGCCCAAGGGAAAAGAGAAAGACTAGCCTGAAGGAGAGGAACGTGAAGGAGTGACCCAGTAAGGGAAGTAGAGAGAGCTCCAAAAACCCCTACAATTCCGCTCATCTTCAAAGGAACAGGAGCCATTTTCTCATCCTCCCACTTCATTCCTTTTGCCAAGAGCGTCTCCAGGATTCTTTCGCTCTCCTCAACATTCAACTGAGACACTGCCCCTGGCGATACTAGAATGCACAAAGAGGAGGGAAGAGAAACGGAGGAAGATTTGGGATTAATAGAAGTGATTGGAATATTTATTTATTTGCATATGAATTATGCCTCGAACGCACATCTCCTTTTTGCATAGTATTCCAACCATTTACATTTGCTGGGTATACATTGAAATTTACGTATAATGACCTCTATTCGGATCAAGTTCATTCTTACCACTTCAAGAAACTCAAATTATTCTTTTTCAAAGAATTTTTTTTTAAATTTATATTATTTTTCTTCCTTTTCTCTGGTCGCGGATTCGCTGGAATTGTATTTTCAAGCACAAGATCCCATTTCAATAATTGCCAGGGCTCCACAATTCCAAGGGCACCCAAGTGCGAATACCTGGAATTTAAGTTGCCAACCTTTCAAGGCAGATTTAGAATAGGAAACTTGATGAAATTTCGCATGAAAATGGAAAGTGCTTCCCAAGTTTCGAATCTACAGTACAATTTAGTGATTTTCAAGCATTTAAATGAGGATACAAAATAATTGTCAACTTTCATTAGCATCAACTAGCATTAGCATTAGAAATCCTTCGTCTTTTATTTCCCATGTTTATTACTTATCTGAAGGAGATGAAGAATCTCCATTCGAATATTTCCCTTCTCTAGAATTCCTTGAAGTGAGAACTAGTTATTGGCTGTGAAGAGTGGCGGCTACATTTCCATCCACCTATTCGCGCTGGTGGTTCTTGAGGAGGATTGGAAGGGCGGGTTTTTAATTCCTATCCCCAACTGTATCTGAATCCGCGATAGTAATTGAACGGTAATAAAATCTTAAGTGTAATTTGTGAAGACACCTGAGAATATATATAAAAAAGGGTCATGCAGATTCATGTGCTTCCGTGCGGAGAAAGGGCCTCCGTAAAGGGACATCACCTTCAGACAATCTTCCACTTACTACCATCAAACATATATCCCCAGTCATGGAATGGAGATGATGACGAGAGAGAAGATAGATGGTCAGAACAATATAAAGCTTCCGATGTCCAACGGGAGAGGTCTTGAATGGAGCCGTTTATCTGGTTAAAAGAGCTCTCTCTACGCACTGCTTCTTCGCCCAGCCTCCTTGCTGTCTCATCCCAGGTTGGCACCTGCAATGAGATTAGGAGCACAATCCATGAGAGGGTGGATTAAGGATAATTATTGCCTCGAGAAGGAAAAAAGCTTGCAAACGCGAACTTCAGTGATACTCAATGAACAATTTCAGTTTTTGCATAATGAAAGGGAATAGTCAATTCATCTGCATCAGTATGTTTCATTTGAAAAAAAGAAAAGGTTCAAACGTACATGGGTTCCATGGAACCGACGAGAATAAAATAAGGAGATCATCTTTTACAATCATTTCTTTAAGAAATGATCACCTGTTATAATGGATATGCATTTATTACCCTGACCATTTTCATTTAAAACGCCTACATCTAACTTATTTTTTTCATGAGAAATTCGTATATGCATCTTGCAGACGATTAATGACGCAGAAGTTTAATATGCATAAGTATTTTATATGAAATCTACATTTTCTTCTGCAATGTTTCCATTTCACGTTGCGTCTTCTTAAAGCTTTTGTGAAAAATATCCGTTTGTCGTTCCGCGTTTCGAAATATTGTTGAAAGACTTAGAACATATGCCATATATATGATTTGAAAGGATACGAAGCAGGATATGAACGAGATCGAAAGGGTGGAGGGTCAGGTGAAGGAAGAGAAAGAGACTTACCCTTAGAAACTGTTCCTTCTCATCTAGCGTCAGTAGAATTCTAGGGCCACGTTCAATGTCCATGGGATGAGTGTCCCAGGTCTGCACAACTCGCTTTTCAATCATGGTTTTCCAGAGATCTGCATGACTGGGGATATTGTCGATGATGATGAGTTGAGTTCGAGCACGGGAGATAACTTCCAATAACCAGTCATCACCCACGTCCACTGAGATGACGATTGAAGCTTGACACCCACGAAAGTTTTTGGGGTGAATTACTCGCATATCAAGGTCGGTTTCCAGCCCTTGCAAGGACGTTAGCAAGTCTTCATCTGATACCAGGATATGAAGCTGCTGATCTGTTGCCCCTCTCAGGGGAGCCAAAAGGGAAGATAAAATGTTTAAAAGGCTATCAGTATTAAACCAAGATGCAGAACCCATAGATTTACTGCATGGTCCTCCTCCCTTACAAATGTATCCGAAGTGTCGACCTGAACACTTGTAGTTGATGTATAGAACCGGTGGGCCAAAGACATAGGTATCGAGCACGGAAGAAATGGGCAGACTCTTCGCTTTCAGCTTCAAAGATGTTCTAATTTCGTTCTTCTGAATATGCTTAAGAAGAAGCTCATTGGTTGGTTGAGATTGAAGTTTAATTGCGACGCAGTCTGGGTTCATTTCGAGGACGTTTGTCAGACTCTCTACACAGACTCGTTGAGGGTCATTGGAATGAGGTTTAAAAGCTATGATGAGCTTCATCCCTTCTTTCAATCTCTCAATGACAGCGTTGATCTCATATTCCATCTCCCTCCTCAAAGGGCAGTCCTCGACAATCACTACCAAGGGTCCCGCCACTTTTCCCTTGTACTCCACAGCTTTTTTTCTCTCAAGTTCGAAGATATCGTTGAGAGATTGGATCTCCCTTGAATCGATGTCAACAATCTCCATGTTCTCCTCTACCCCCCAGCGCCGTCGGCAGAGCTTTTGTGACAACACACTGCCGCAATGAAGAAAAAGGACTCGACCCCAAAGCTCTATTATTCTTTCAATCACTTTGTGAAGCAGCTGGGATTTCCCGGAGGCAGAATAACCGAATATTCCAGAAACCCTTGCTTCAAGCATCTTCTTCAAGTCGTTCTCATCCTCTTCTCTCCCTTTTGTATCCATTTCCATTCTGGGTAAGGGTGCACGATGAGAGTTGACCAGCTCATCAATCACATTATCCTTGTTCCCTTCGCACATCCTCATGAGTTTTTGACGGAGACCTTCTTTGTCAATGCGTTCCTGTTGTATGTTCATATCAGGGAATTCCCTCACGATGTGAGAGAATTTTCCCGTCTTCAAGTCTTCTTCTTCAATCAAGAGAATCTTATTTTTTTTTTGACGGAGACCTTTTGTCAATGCGTTCCTGTTGTATGTTCATATCAGGGAATTCCCTCACGATGTGAGAGAATTTTCCCGTCTTCAAGTCTTCTTCTTCAATCAAGAGAATCTTATTTTCGTCATTTGTTGCTATCAATCGACTGTAGTTTTTCCATTGCGATTCTGGGAAATCCACGATCACAGTGATGTTATTCAGATGGCATCCCATTATTTCCTCTTCATTAACAATGACGAGAGGGGGCGATCCTCCTGGGGACGGCTTTCCGTGGAATTCTCCATTACCATCCAAGTAGAGGATGGGGAATGAAGCAGTGGCAGTGATGGTGTTCACAAGAGCCAACTTCTTCGCCGTCGCATCATCAACCACGACAAACAGTGGCATTTGAAATTTCGCGGAATATACCTCACGGATTGATTCGATGGCTGCTGAGGCCCTCATGGTCCGGCAGACCGTTTCGTTCTTGCATTTGTTTCCATGAAGGGAATAACAAGATGGAACTGTAAAGAGGATGGGGAGACACTTCCCTCTACACTCTCCCATCTCCATCTGATGCGTCCCCTCAGAAGATATGAAGCTCCTGTGTAAATGTTCTTCAACGGTCAGGAAAAGTTTGGCTATGTTTCGACTGTTTCTCATTACTCTGTCGAGGACAAATATTTGGAGGCCTCCTGGCTTCACGTCCTGCAGGCATATGTCCGTTACGTAAGTCTGGTCATTGGGTCTAAAGATGATGGTAATGGATTTCACAGTATTCCTAATATCCAAGAGCCATTCCCAGTGCTTGGATAAGGCTTCTGAGGTGATGATTCCCTGGAATCCAAGAGTGATGGGGACTTCATCCATCAGAACGTGTTTTCCTCGCCCTTCCTCCAGCAGGAACTTTTTTAGTGCTAGATGATCCTCTACTAGGCCCTCCATTCCCCCATCAATTATTCTGATGTGCTCTTTTTCTGTTGGGAAATACACAAACAGTTCTCACGCAGCATATTACGACCTCATCTGGAAAATCTACCAGACTTTCTTGCAACGTCACAGGGTCTCAGGAAAATTTTCGTTCTTGCATTTGTTTCCATGAAGGGAATAACAAGATGGAACTGTAAAGAGGATGGGGAGACACTTCCCTCTACACTCTCCCATCTCCATCTGATGCGTCCCCTCAGAAGATATGAAGCTCCTATGTAAATGTTCTTCAACGGTCAGGAAAAGTTTGGCTATGTTTCGACTGTTTCTCATTACTCTGTCGAGGACAAATATTTGGAGGCCTCCTGGCTTCACGTCCTGCAGGCATATGTCCGTCACGTAAGTCTGGTCATTGGGTCTAAAGATGATGGTAATGGATTCCACAGTATTCCTAATATCCAAGAGCCATTCCCAGTGCTTGGATAGGGCTTCTGAGGTGATGATTCCCTGGAATCCAAGAGTGATGGGGACTTCATCCATCAGAACGTGTTTTCCTCGCCCTTCCTCCAGCAGGAAATTTTTTAGTGCTAGATGATCCTCTACTAGGCCCTCCATTCTCCCATCAATTATTCTGATGTGCTCTTTTTCTGTTGGGAAATACACAAACAGTTCTCACGCAGCATATTACGACCTCATCTGGAAAATCTACCAGACTTTCTTGCAACGTCACAGGGTCTCAGGAAAACAGTAATCCATTTCCCTTATTATGTTGTATATTATATTATATTGGATTAATGGAAGTACGCAATCATGACACCAAGTACAGATTCTTGTTCTCTTCGCGTATCCATGCGAGTGGGCAGAAGAGAAGAGCTCCTCCCCGAATTTGCTATTTTACAAGGACCTGGGGCCTGTTCGTCGCATCTGCGGAACTTAATCTAGATCTAAATCTAAAACTAAATTTAAACCTAATTCTAAATTGAACTACTCGCCTATTCGAACGAAGCCAAGGGAGTCCCTCACCTCAGTACTGAGTCACCGTTCTTAGATTAGATTTGGTTCGAATTTAGATCAAGTTTCTCGATGAACTTGATCTAAACTCGACCTGAAATGATTGCAAAAGCAACCACGGGAAGCTGCTGTCCCTCATATCATTGCAAAATTAACGCACGTGTATATAGGTTATTGGAAAGGGGCTGGTAGGGTCGAAACCGGAATCACCAGAATCCATGAACTGTGGCCCAAATCGAAAGGGAGGCCTTAGGGGTTTCTCACCCCATTTTGAGACTTCTTGAGAGGTTAAAACCATGTAAGACCTGTGTCACAGGTCATAAGATATGAATATTCATGAAATTTTCGTGCAATGATCTTGCGCTCCCATATAGTATTGAACTGAGTTCTCACCCATCATTCAAACATTTAGGCGACATTTACACCGGGTCGGGCCTGTCGAAAAATCTTCCTCCTCTTAAATGAAACTGAAACGAAAGTGTGGGAGAAAGAGAGCCTTTTAACCCTTAGACTTCTTATAGATTGGATTTACTTTAGATTAGGTTAGCCAGATTTGTAATTGGATTCAGACTTAGATGAAGTTTAGGAAAGGCGAGGAATAGGCCCCGGGGAGTCGGATCGCATAGAATCTCAATTCCCCTGTACCTTAATTGCAAAAACTTCTCTTTTACCTTCCATACAATGAAAGATTATTTTGGCCTAAAAATAACCTTGATTATCTCTTTAATACTTTTCTTAACTTCTAGAAAATGATTGAATGGGGACTGGAAACATTTTCTCATGAATACTTGAAGCCTACACTACCTCGTGATGGTATGAAATCGGTAGAACATTAGTGCAACGGTGATACGCGTGGAAACAGCATGAAAACTTACATAGCCGGTGATGGAAGGCCCCTGGGGACGGGATGCAAAGTGTAGAACCCCTCTAGAGAGAGAGAGGGAGCCTGGCCAACCAAGGTCAACTTTTTTGACGAATCTGTTTGGCTGACGTTCATGTGCACCATTTTCGCCCCAGCTGCTGCATGAGCCCGGTCCACGTAAAATATGTAAAATCGATAGCCTGCACTGGGTGGCGGACAATAATGCCACGTTATGTTGCTGTGAATCGCTGGAACCGGTCTGAATAAAGTTTTCGCCGGTTCCCATCTCTGAACGACACTCGGGGTCCATTTTAGGCTGGGAAAATAAAACACGAATATTGGGGCCTTCATATTGGTCTCGCTAGTGAGGTTACCATGACAAGAAGCTTTGCCAATTCAGTAAGACTTCTGTGAAGGCCAGGACGACAGTGCTCCAGCTTTTTTTGGTTGGCAATTAAGCAAATGTATAACCTTGATGGTCTGAATTAAGATCAAGTCGATGATGCTCCGCTGAAAATAACGTTATTTAAAATGTGTCATGTCCGGAAATCATCTCATTTTGCACTTAGACTAAAAGAAACCACACCGACAGAACCCATTCGCAGATACGAGTATATGGGCTAAGCACGCACCGGCGTATTGATAGCAAGCCAGGATGGACACATTGGTGTTACGATTCGTAGCTGACATTGACGCAGGTTGTTACCATCAGCTCGGACAACATGACCTCTCGATTGACACTGAAGGAACGCCGTTGCGTTGCAGCGCGCATGACGACATGTCGCTGTGTGCATGTTCAGGAAATGCGACTGAAAAACGCAATCGCTTCCGCGTGAAGGTCGAAAATAAATCCTCATATCTGACGGTGCGGAGGATCGACAAAAGGTTTCGTTCTACAAATTCCGGTGTTGACAACTGCGTCTGCGCGTCCGGACGTAAACGAACATCGCGCAAGGCTGACGACATCGAAAGCGTCATTCGCTACGACCATGAGCAGGCAGAAATCAATGCGACGGGCAGCTAGGAACTCGATTTGCCGAAGTCCGTTGCGCACGAAATCAATCGATAAGACTTACGGCTGACGCCATTCCGCACGCACGTCGTACATCAGAAATCCGTGTGAAATCGAACGAGGAAGATCCGGACCGTCGCGCTGATTTCCGTGAATCGTTTCAGGAAACGGTGGAGGACGGCGTCGCCTTCCTGGATACAGTGGCAATGTCTGACGAGTCCACCTTCGCGGCGGACGGCCGATGCTCTCACCGTAAGATCACTCTGTCGACTAGAAAACCTCCGTGCGTCGACCGTGGGAGTATGAGGATGCCTGCACGTCAACGTCTTGTGCATCGGCTCATCGAGCTTTAATTTTGGTAAGATGCGTAGGGTCGTCCGCTGACCGTCGATGCCGATCGCTACGGCGTCATACAGAAGACTACCTCGTCACCGAATTGGATATTCTCGGACAGTTCCATGGTATCGCCTAGAAGTTGGAGTATGATTGACTAATTTAATTTAAATTGAAGACATCATGCTTGAGTTATGAGTCATCAAGTGGAACTGTGTACAGAAACACAAGAAGCAAAATAAGAAAACATACACTTTTCTTATTTAGTTTCGAGTTTTTCATGAGCGAAACAAATTAGCATGGGAACATTGGAGGAGTCCGATACTTTTTTTTAGCTGGAGGTGAAAATGTGAACTACTACATGAATGTATTTTTTTCCATAGCTCACTCACATTTTGCTTCCCAGGGTCTTAATTATGAACGGTGCTGATGGGGTAAACGGGGTGAGGTGAGTGGGCAAAATGGGGCCGTAAAGCGGCTAAATATATCTATTTTCCTCTGGCTGGAATATATATGATGGTCATAAAGTCCCAATCCATTTTTTGAAATGCTAAAAATTATTACAAAAATGCATAATGTCCACTTCACATTTTCAATAATAAACTAAATTAAACTGACGAAAAGAAATAAAAAGAAGTTTTCAAGATTTTTTTCACAGAAGTCCCAAACGACCCTCTTCCAAATCGATACATAACTGCAATCGATCGTTTGTTCCCTAAACATTCAGGATTTTCAGTATGTTAGGGGTTATGGTGTTAACAGCAACATTGATACAATCTCTTAAGTCTTCAACATCGAGAATTCTTGTGCTGTAAGCCTTTGACTTTACGTACCCTCTTTCAGAAAAGTTCAAGGGGGTTAAGTCAGGTATTTTTGAAGCCCATATTCTGTTTAACCCTAGGCCAATCCAACGTTTTGGGAACCTTTCAACCGATAATTTGCAAAATTTTCGTGAAATTAAAATTGGCTTCAAGATCCCCTAACCTAACCCCTTGGACTTTTTTCCATGGGGGTTCTTTAAGTCAAAGATTTACAACACAACAATTCCCAATGTTGACGGTGTAAGGAGATCGTATCTATGTTGCTGTTTACAACGTAACTCCTGACATGCTTAACTTCCTGAATGTTAAAGGAAACAATAAATCGATTGCAATTTTGTATCGATGTGGAAGGTGGTCATGTGGAACATTAGTATTAAAAAGTGAAATTTTTTTAAAATTTACGTTAACTAGTTTCATTTAGTTCATTATTGACAGTGTGAAGTGCACATTTTGCATTTTTGTAAGAAATTTGAATTTATCAATGAAATAGAATTTCATGAACACCCTGTACATTACAATGGTGAGGCTCAGGCTGATGCGATGGGTCACTGTTCAGATTCTTTCTCTCGCTCAAAACGGGTTGGGTTGTCGGTGACGGTTGGGTTATCGGAATTCAGCCCATGATAGGTGTTTTCAAACATCAATGACGACACGGATGAGGCAGTGATTTCAGTGACTTCTCAAAATTTGCATATATGATGAATGACATGGATGCATGGATGACAATATGGGACAGCAACAATTATTTTGCCATAAAAGTTTAATTGTTGTTTCTGTACTGTGGCCTTAGTAAATAGTCATTTAATGAAAATATGGGAAAACGTGAGAAAATAACACGGTTCATTTGTAGACGTTTCATTGGTATGTCTGTTCTTTGACCTTTGTAAGAATGAAGACCTGGAGGAAAATGAGAAAGCATCTGCATTTTCTGGATGTTTTGATGCGGTCTTTGTTCTGTGAACTTTGTAATTAGGCATAC